AATGCCATTTTCATTAAAATATTTTTCAAAAAATTTGTTTTCAAATTCGCCACCATGATCACTTCTGACTTTAACAATTTTGAAATCTTTTTCATTCTGGACTTGTTTGCAGAAGTCAAAGAACACAGAATGTGACTCATCCTTGTATTTTAGGAATTTCACCCATGTTCATCTGCTGTAGTCATCAACAATGACTAATCCATACTTCTTGCCTCTGATTGAAGCAGTTTTCACTGGTCTAAATAGATCAATATGAAGTAATTCTAATGGTCTTAAGGTTGAAACAACATTTTTAGTTTTAAAAGAAGATTTTGAAAATTTCCCTTTTTGACATGCTTCACAAAGAGCATCTGAGTTGAACTTCAACTTAGGAAGTCCTCTGACCAGATTGAATTTATTAATCTGAGATATACGTCTCATATTAATATGCCCCAATCTTCTGTGCATGGCCCATTGCTCATCATTAACAGACATAAGGCATTTTACATTTTGAACCTTAAGTTCTGAAAGATTGATTTTGTAAATGTTGTTCTTTCTCTTTCCATTAAATAGGATTGAGTCATCCTTTTGACTGACAGCTTTGCAACATTTTTTATTAAAGATTATGTCATAACCATTGTCACTTAATTAACTTATGGACAATAGATTATGTTTTAATCCTTCTACAAGTAAAACATTAGATATAGAAGGAAGATTACCATTGCCAATAGTACCAGAGTCAATTATCTTGCCCTTCTGATTCCCTCCAAACTTGACGTTTCCTCCAGATTTAAGCTCCAGGCTTTGGAACATAAACCTTTCTCCCGTCATGTGACGTGAGCAGCCAGAGTCCAGGTACCATGATTGACGTCTTGACTTTGCTGCTAAATACATCTGCAACAAATATTATCTTATCCTTAGGTACCCAGATCTTTTTGGGTCCTTTTGGGTTAGTTGCCTTAAAAGTTTGTCTGAACTTCTATCTTCTTACAACAGGTTTGTTCTGACTAACTTTTGGTTTAAACACAGGAACGTTCTGATCAGAACGTGTGTGTTTAATATCATTCAGATGACCAAACTTAAAGTGAGAATATAAGGGAGTCTTCTTAATGATAAGTTTATCAACAGGTATTGGATTTAAATCATTTCCAGAGGAAGATTCATATCCAATTCTCTTCATGTTGTTTCTGCTAACTCCATAGATCATTGAAGCCATCTTGCTTCTATCTATGCTTCTAGCCAGAAACTTCTGAAAACTATAGTCATATTCTTCTAAAATATTTTTACATTTTGACTTAGTTTCAAATTCAGAGTCTTGTTGAGCTTTCTCAAAATTGTTTTTCATTTTCAAATTATTTTCTTTGAGCTCAGCAACTTCTGACTTTAACAGACTATTCTCATATTCAAGATTGCATTTAAGCTTCTTGCACTTGAGCTTAATCTGGTTATATTTGTTCAGAACTTCTGATAAAACCTCAATAAGTTCTTCCCTAGAGAGATCAGAAAGTACCTCTTCTAAGTCAGATTCAGAATCAGATTCAGATCCAGATGTTCCTTTATCCTGATCTTCCACGCCTGCCATCAGTGCCATGTTGCCACATTCTTCATCTGATTCTGATGAAGATTTAGATTCATCTGAATCATCCCAGGTTACCATTAGAACCTTCTTCTTTTTGTCAAACTTCCTCTTTGGCTTTTCCTTCAGAAGCTTTGGACATTCATTCTTGTAATGACCAGGTTCCTTGCATTCATAGCAGACAACCTCTTTCTTTCCAGATCTTTTGTGTCCAGAGGACTCTTTGCGTTGATCTGGCTTCTTGAAGTTTCTGAACTTTTTTCCTTTATGCTTCCAGAGTTTGTTGATTCTTCTGGACAGCATGGACAATTCATCTTCTTCTTCAGAAGAAGATTCTTCAGAACTTTCTTCTACAACTTGCAAAGCTTTGACAGATTTGTTAGACTTTAAAGCAATTGACTTACCTTTCTTTTGAGGCTCGTCTTCTTCAAGTTTAATCTCATGGCTTCTCAAAGAGCTGATCAGTTCCTCCAATGTGATCTTGTTCAGATCCTTAGTTAGCTTCAGAGCAGTGACCATTGGTCTCCATCTGATGGGCAAACTTCTGATGATCTTCTTAACATGATCAACAGTGGAGTAGCCTTTGTCCAACACTTTTAATCCAGCTGTGAGGATCTGGAATCTAGAGAACATGGCTTCTATAGATTCAGATTCTTCCATTTTAAAGGCTTCATATTTCTGGATCAGCGCTAGAGCCTTGGTCTTTTTAACTTGTGAGTTCCCTTCAGGAGTCATCTTCAAAGACTCAAACAAATCAAATGTTGTTTCTCTGTTGGTAATCTTCTCATACTCAGTATGAGATATAGCATTTAATAAGATTATTCTAGCTTTGTGATGATTTCTGAACTCCTTCTTCTGAGCTTCAGTCATAGATTTTCTATCAATTTTCTTGCCATCCCCATCAGTGGGGTGAACATACCCATCAATGACTAAGTCCCAAAGATCAGCATCATATCCAAGAAAGAAACTTTCAATCCTGTCTTTCCAGTAATCAAATTTCTCCCCATCAAACATAGGGGGTTTAGTGTTGATTCTATCTCTGTCTTCATATCTGTTGTTGTTGGATATTGAAGCTTCAGCCATAATGTATCAACCAAAAATATCAAGAGTTTTCTCAACTGGATCTTTTCTGTTCACGGTGAAGTGATAACACTCACAGAACCTGAGCTCTGATGCCAACTGAAGGTGAGAGAACACTTAAAGGGGGGGGGGGAGGGGTTGAATAAGGGTTTAGAAAATATTATGGCAATAAAAACACAATGATTTTTATCCTGGTTCGTTGAACTCAACTAATCCAGTCCACCCTATCAAGAGTGATTTGCCTTTCTCCACAAGGACTTAATCCACTATAACCAAACAGATTACAATGTCAACCACTAAGAACAACTGTCTTAGTCTTCTCAAGAATTACTGACCACAACTTGGTCTTCTTAAGGAACATTTACAATCAAATGTAAACTAAACAAGTGTTTAAAATGCTTCTAAGAAAGCTATATCACAACTGTGATTTATACACTCAAGATTAAGAACAAATGAAACTATTCAACAAAGAATTATAATTTGTATGAGAGCTTTGAGAGAGTTTTCAATAGTTGTGTCAATTTTTGTCAATGTGTTCGTCAACTATAGAAAATTGTTGAAGGCTTGCTTTTATAGACAAAGAAGTCCAAGACGTTGCAAGCTTGAAGACCGTGTACTGCAAAGTAGCTGTAGCCTTTTGTCTTCACATGACTTGACCTTTCCTAGAAGTAGAACGTTTAGAGAAATCCTTTTTTGCCTGAGTTCTTGTGTCTAGCATAAAAGAGGAAAGAGTCGTTTGAAATATGCCAACGGATATATCTTGAATAATCTTCTTCAACAAGTTTCTATTTCACAACAATCAACATCAGAGTCTTGAGTGATCAGAGTCTTGATGTCATCAGAGTTTGCTGTATCAGAGTGTTGCAACAAGAGTGTTTCAGCGTGAAATCAATCAGAGCAGAGTTTGGAAATCAGATCCTCAGTACTTGCAGCGAACAGTACTATCAAAATCTTCTGAAAAACAGTGCTTGAAACTCTTCATACAAAGTCTTCAGTTTACGCTTCAGATGCTTCTGTAGCTTCTGCTTCAGATTCTTCTGTAGGCAGCGCTCAGAGTCTTCTAATGAGATGCTTCTGACGCTCAAAGCCTTGTGTAGTTCAATGTTCAGATTCATTTTTGCTTTCAGAAGAATATTAAATTTAATATCTGCAACAAAAATACTTGAACAAATTTAGAGTATATAATTTCTTAATACAAAATTTCATTAGTGTTATCATCAAAACATAGAGATATAACTAAGAACCAATCTGTATTCTAACAATTGTTTATTAGATAACATTTTGGCACTTCCATTGATGCATGATGAACATAACTTAACATTTGACAAAAACTTACATTACTTAGATAGACGATTACATAACTTAACAAAACAATAATAAATAATAAAACATAAATACTACCAGATGATTATGGAGGTTTTGCCACGTTGAAGAACACTTTTGCCTTGACCAAAAACTGAGACATTATAAGATATTTTTCTTAACAACACGCGACCCTTACAAAAATGTCAGCAAAATCTCAACCTTTCAATTATCACTATCAGATTTTTGACTTATCCATAAAAAAATCCAAAAATTAAAGGTTGTTTTGAAAATAATCTATTGATGTTAAACTACTAGGTTTTTTTTAATCTTTATTCAAAATAATCCACTATTTAAAGAAAAAAAGCTATGCATAGTAACATACCATATTTTTAAAATATCTTATATACCATCCATATCTTTATCGGATTTTTTTAATTTTTATGAAATTTTCTTTATTATTTTACCGTATTTTTCATCTAAATTTTTTGATAGAATTTTAGCAAGAATAACATAAACATAGAAATATGTGGAGGTGCTAGCTTGAGGTGGGATGAGGATAAAATCTCTAGTTTTTCTATTCTAAGGTGTTCAATTGGGTTTCCATGCTAGCCCAACCACACTAAAAAGCTAAACATAACCAAGCATATTTGATTTGATTAACTAATACGATAAAACGGCGACGTTTTGGAGAAGCCCACCCACCCAGCGCAGCTTACTTGTTCACGAAGCGATCCAAGTCTTAAACAGAATGTATAACTAAACATTCCGTGTAAAACTCAAACAGAACCCACCAAGAAACGAACAGAAAAATAACAAAACCCTAATTTCTCAAATCCTTATCAATTCACCTTCAATATATAAAACCCCTCCTTTTATTTCATTTCCCCCAATTCCTCTCATCCCATCCACACAAAATCTTCACTTCGATCATCCATTCTTTCCTGGTGGGTTTTGTGAAGATTTTCAATCTTTTTCTTCTCTTTTGCGATCGCAATCGGATGAAATTTCTAATTTTTCGTGTTTGAAATTTGCAGAGACTTGTCGATTTTTCAATTCAACCATGTCTAAGGCTTCCTTCAAGACTCAGCACCCTTTCGGTATTTTAATTTTTATATATGATCATCTATTAATCCAATTCCTTTGTTTGGTAATTATTGGGAATCTGAACCTTTTGATTGCTTGCATTCAAAAAGAAATAAATCAAAACTTTATAGAAAAAATATTCATCTAATTGAAATTATTGGGACTCTTGTGATTATGATCTTTAGCTTTATAGGTGTATTTTTTTGTGTTTCAAAAGCCCTTGTGTATTTATTGGAAATGAATAACAGCTTGATGTTTTTTGTACATGTCAGAAAGAAGACAGGCTGAATCATCTCGCATTAGAGAGAAGTATCCTGATAGAGTACCTGTAAGATTGTTTGTTTTCAGGATGCATACATTGTGTTTGTGTTTATTCTTGAATACATTCTTGCTGAAATATGGCGTTTGTTTGCAGGTGATTGTGGAGAAAGCTGGAAGAAGTGACATTGCAGACATTGATAAAAAGAAGTAAGTGATTCGCAGACATGTTATTATGTCCGTTTTAGTTAGTTCTTTGGCCATAGAATGCTATTTTGCTGCTTTTTTTTTATGGGCCATGATTCTTTTAGGGTTTTGGATGATTCCAATTTTGTATTGTTAGTAACATACATAGAGTTGCGAATGAGAAAGTATGAGATAGTATGACTTTGAGTTTGAACGACCATTTATCAGAAAAGGAATGTATGGAATGGTTTGAGTAAGTTTTGAATTTGAGGATTTCTTCCATTTTGCCTATCTTGATAGAAATTAGAAGATAAACAACCATTATATTATCTTGATCTTTGCAAATTTTCATGCTTTAGTTGATTATTAATTGGTTTATTCTTGTTGCGATGCTGTAGGTACCTTGTCCCAGCTGACCTGTCTGTTGGTCAATTTGTTTATGTCGTCCGCAAAAGAATTAAGCTCAGTGCAGAGAAGGCTATTTTCGTTTTCATCGATAACACCCTACCACCAACTGGTAAGTATCCAGCCTTACAGAATGATTTTTTTTGCCAGTTTAGTAGTGAGTGATTATTAACTAAAGCCCCTGTTGTTGCAGCTGCTTTGATGTCTGCTCTTTATGAAGAACACAAGGATGAGGATGGCTTTCTTTACATGACTTACAGTGGAGAGAATACCTTTGGATCCCAGTAGGAATCATTTGAGACAACCTTTATGTAAATAGCTCCCATATCAGCAGTCAATTGTCAATACATAGCTAGCCTAATGTGTATTGCGATGCTGCATTTCTCAATATTTTCATTATCTTTTACGTTATGAATTTCAAGTTTTCTATTAATGGATTTAGATTTTGTTACTGCACATTTGAATTCTCAGTTGATTGGTTTCAGTAAATATTCTACTCTATGGATGATGTTACTTTTGGTTGTAGAAGCACTATTTTCTACAAAGATTTGTAGTAGAGTTGCATGGTCAGCCATGGCTTTTTAAACCATTAAATTGTTCTGGTTTCTTGTGTCCCAACTTTTTTTACTTCACAATTTGAAATTTCAAATATGATATTAGCAAAAGCCAATATTTTAATAGGTGAGTAAATTAAAATTAAATGGAAGAAGGAAAAGGGATAGTTTTTGTGGTGATGACGCTTAATTAGATATGGTAGAGCTTCAAATTTTACCTGTCTTTATTACGAAAATAAATCAGTCCACTATGGACCACCCTATCACTCTAAGAAGAAAAACTATAACTGAAATTAGCTATAGAAGAAAAAGTTAATGATCGATGTTGGTTAAATTTCTTGGCTTATTCCACACATCAACTCATCTATATGACACAAAGAGTCACATTTGTAACCCACTCAGTTTCACCAATCTTGGAAGAAAGTTTTGATCCCAAAGGAAAGACTTCAAGTCACTCAAGCAGTTTTGCTTAAGAAATTTAATTTGATGCTTAAATACATGTGATTTATGAAATAATTATGATAAAAATTGAAACTTCTTAAAATGTGGCGTGGTGAAAAGGAAAAACTCTGGATATCTTTCACATCTCTCAAGTTTTTATATAATAAAAGAAGTCTTCTTAGAGTGTGCCCTAAAGGGTATATAAATTTTACAAATAGACGGATTGATGTTAATAATTAATATCACATATAATTGGCAGACTCGGTTTCGGTCAGGCTTGGGTTGAATTTGGCTTCATATTAATCCTTATTTTTTTACATGTCATCCTTAACGGTTATCTTTGATAGAGTACTATAACAGTCATCATTGATCTAGTAAACTGAAATCAAAAGGGTTATGAGACTATGTGCCACCTTTCTCGGATCCCTTTGTTGTTCATCTTGAATGAACTATCCCTTTGTCATTCATCTTGACTGAACTACCCTTCAAATTTCTCTTCCACTCAGCTTGAATAAACTCTCTTTCTTTTCTACTGGTCGAATTTTCGAATTATTTCTTGACATTCTCTTTGGAGAATTAGTTTTCTATAGAAAAAAAAATTTTGTCTGAGAATTTAATATAAGTGGTCTAATGACCATTATTTTAGGGTGTTCCTAAATTGTTGCCTAGAATATTGTACACTTAGATTGAACTGTTTTATTTTAGGAAATTCGTGGTTGATAGTATGTTTATATAATTTTGGACAATGTCGTAAAACATCTTAAAGAGAATGATATGATATGTGACTCAACTATTAATTTCTTTGGTCGTTTAATTATTTTTAAAACATTTTGAAATTTAAAAATAACAATTTTAAGATGCTTCTTTCTGCCATGTCTACGGAAGAAGTTATGGGTAATAGTTCAATTGTTTATGACTTAAACAAACTCTTAAAATTTGAGAGAGTTTCTTTCAAACGGTGGCAACAAAAATTCTCGTTTTCTTAACAATAAGAAAGGTAGCCAATGCCTTGACTAAATAGACGTTAGTCGTGGACAAAACAGCTAATCCAACCACAAAAGGATAAAACGGCTAAAAAAATATTTGTGTCATGAGAATGATTATCTCTACAAAGTTATATATTGAATTGGTAAACTGATGATTTATATGATTTATATGATTATTACATCGCCTACATCATTTTTAAAGACATGAGAAGTTTTGAAAAAGAAGTATGACACTGAGGATCTTAATGATAAGAAAATGTTGTGAGTCGCTACCTAAAGCTCCACATGTCTAGTGGTAAATGTGTGGATTCTCATTCCTATAAAATCTAGATGACAACACACAAAATCATCACCAAATATATAAATTTAGATGAAAAAATTTAAGTAGCTATTATCATTAACAAACTACTCCCATCTTGGAAGGATTTCAAAAATCTTCCAAGGCGCAAAACTAAAAAGTTTTACATAGAGAGTTTGATAACATGTCTCCATATTGAAAAGGAATCTCAGAAACAAGATCATAATGAATAAGTGTTGGTTGTTTCAAATAAAATAAATAAATTCACAGGTCTTTCCCTGAAGTCAACCAACAAATAACAAAAAATTTGAATCACGGTATGACTAGAAACTGTTCCGGACTGCCCCAGTGGCTGGGCATGACCCAATCAACTTCTGCTCCCAGAACGGTCCAATTGCCTAAGTCCAACCAGTTGGGGAAACATTTACCTTTCCGCCCCTCCAACAGGGGAGATTGACCGATTTACCCCTGTATCAGCACTTCTCCTCATCAGTCCTTACCTGTTACGTACGGTTCCACCATCCAGAAACAGTCAGGACACTTGTACCCGTAACTGCGTCTCTGTCCATAGAAACGGCTAGTTATGGACACATCTGTCTGTTCCAACAACTAGTTTTGACAGTTAACTATTTTTCGGGAAACGGTTATCTCGCTCCGAAAATAGGAATCAATGGCCAAGCGTTAGGGGCACTATAAAAACCCTCTCATTTGAGAGGGTCAGGTATCCAATATTCACCCTGATATACACATATTTTGTACTTACTTTCTCTCCCCCGATTCTTACTTTAGCATTGGAGTGCCTTGCAGGTACACCCCTTCATCCTCTCTTACACCCAGCATCACAGACAAATGTCTCTGTCCCACTTCAAGTTCATCAGTGGCACGTCTGTGGGAAACCTGTTATCCCCGTTTTTTCTCCCTTCATAGATACGATACCAAAACAGTTCTTCAAAATTCCGATCATGGCCAACCGTGACGACACGCATGATGCTCGCAACTCTGCTTTTGGGGTCGACGTCCTCTGAAGAAGGGACGGAGCCACCATTTCTCCATCCCCTGTTCGCGTAAACCACAACAAGGTCTTGCTTGTCTTGGAGCACCTGCCTGTTTCAGTTCCGCCCAGCGTCGACCCGGTCATGGATGCCCTCCTCGAGGTGCTCAACAAGACCAACCTCCTAATCCTCAATCAGAGCGTGAGGATTGGACCCCTTAAAGAGTCCAGTCGTCCAAGATCCCTCCACCGAGGAAGGAGCGTCAGAGACCACGGAGTTCTCCTCCACGGCGCGAAAGAAATCGTCAGACACCTCTAGAGCCAGAGGCCCTGACCGTCAAAAAGTGTGACCGCATCTCTCCCTAGAACTAGCATTCCCCGCGAACCAAGAGGACCAGAAGAGACCACCAAGCAGATTCGCAATGTTCGCCTCCTCCCAGATCCAAGGGCTGAGCACGAAACCCCCTTCTCTGAGAACATACGATGGTACAATGGACCCCAACGAGCACATCGAAAATATTGATGCACTACTCGATTACCGCGGTGTCCGGGGCGCCATCAAATGTAGGTTATTTTTGACCACACTCAGGAAGGGGGAAATGACCTGGTACAAAAGACTCCCCGACGATTCCATCACCTCATGGAGGCAATGGGGAGAATGTTCTTCAGACACTTCACGGCCTCTCACCGCCATCCAAAGACTGAAGCCTCCCTTGAGGCCATAATCCAAGGGAGGGATGAACCCTGCGAGCCTACATCGAAAGGTTCAATAAGGAAGTTGTCCAGGTCTCTACAATCGATGACATAAAAGATATTCTGCTTGAGTGCAGGCTTCGCCCTCATACTAAATTTGCTAAAACTGTGGGCATCCATCCCCCAACAATGCTGGACGCCTTCCTCCTCAAAGCACAAGCGTACATTCAGTATGAAGAGAAGAAGGCCACCAGTTCTACCCGAGATTCGAGACACTGGGAGAATGCTCGATCCTCCAAGTCCGACGAGCCCTTGACATCCCATCGAGGAGATAGAAGAAAAGAAAACCGCCCCTAAGAGCCCCGGGACAACAAAGGGTCTTTCGGCTGGTTCCACGAGTAGACTCCCCTGACAGTTTCAAGGGAAAAAATTCTTTCTAAATGTGCCAACTCAAAATTCCGACAAGTGAGAGTCTGATTCCCTAAGTAGATACCATCCAAAATAAACACTGACAAGTCGAAATATTGTCGGTTCCACAAGAGCCACGACCATATGACCGACGACTGCATCCATTTGAAGGATGTCATAGAGATACTAATCAGGGACGGACACTTGAAGCAGTTTTCCGAATGGAAGGATGCTCCTCGGCAAGACGCCCGCAAATCCAAGAAGGTTGAGGAAGAGGTGCCTTCCTCCGAAGAAACAAGCCTTCAGGTCGCTATGAGCATTTCGCGGCCTGAGGACTTATACATCCTCGAGAGGCTCAGCTCCCCTCCATATTTTGTCGCGCACATCCCGTGTGAGACTTTCCCCTTTGCCATGGTTATCTCTGGAGGGGGCTTCAACAAAGTTATAGTAGGGTCTGTCAAAAGAAAATTCGAGCACCTTATCAGCAATAACTCGAACCGGAACTCCACCCTCGACAGGATCCGGGGAGAGTCTGTTCCCATCTGTTTCTACCGCGAGGAGCTCCTTGGTGGATCCCCCAACGCCATCATCCCTCTGCTCATGAGGGCCCAAATGAAAAATTTTGACGTCCGACGAATCCTCGTTGACCAAGGCAGCTCAGTTGATATTATGTATTCCCAACTATTCTCTACCCTCCAACTGGATGAATCACATATGACACCCTACATGGGCTCTGATTTGTAGGGTTTCAATGGGTCGGTGACGAAGCCCTGGGGTTACGTAGAACTGATCGTAAATTTTGGGTCCGCCGAAACGGCCAAGTCAATCAAGGTCCAATTCCTGGTCATCGATTTCCCGTCGCTATACCAGTGCATCTTCGGGCTGCCAACTCTGGCCGAATTGGTAGCCATGCCTTC